AATCACAGCACACACTGGCCCAGCTAACCAATCACAGCACACACTGGCCCAGCTAACCAATCACAACACACACTAGCCCAGCTAACCAATCACAGCAGATTTCGTATTTCAGAAGGCGGGTCTTCATTTGATACAGGAACTATTCGAGCCGTTCATGCCAGACTGGGGAGAGAGGTGTCGTAATTATGTAAAATATGTGAAAAATAATGTGTTTTTCGAACAACCAAGTATGAGAGCCTGTCTCTAATACACCCCCAAAACAAAATCAAGACAGCATAATAGGAGCCCTTTAAAATGCATGTCAACAGGGAAGGTCTTCTGGTGGGAAATGCGCAACTTACATTTTTGTTGAAGCACTTTCTTTGCTTCTGTACAAAAATGTATGTTTTTTGACCTGTAAACTTGTTTAAGTGGTCTACACTTCTAGCCAGATGAACAATCTCAATAGCAGTTATCTTTGGTCATGGGAGTTTCATTAAAACAACATTGTCTTGCATGTATCATGCAAAAGTTACAAGGTTTTTTGGGATTCGATGGCTGTAACAGGAGTTGGATATTGAAGGTTTACACAGACAAGGTTAATAAGTGATTTTATTACACTAGTCTAACAATGTTTTGAAGCTATGCTTTCAAAATTGCCTACTAAATGCAATTTTTACTTATTTTTATAGACTGAAGGCCAAATTTATTTGATATGGTATTGTCGTACGTCTTAATTAAATTCATTTAAAGTTGCATTTAACCAGGAATATTCCTGTAATGTACATAAACATTTATTTTTCTAGATTATTAATATGTAGACAGTATTTCTAGATTATTAATCTCTTCAGTTTAAACTCAGGCATCACTTATTATTATTATTAAAGCTGTTTGTGTAGTGATATCGGATTTAGCCTATATTCATTTGTTATGAATAATCTGAATTTATGGGTTTTGTCCATCAAGTAAATCAAATGGGATTAATTACCTTTAATTTATGAAGTATTTAATTTAATGGATTATCTAATAATAGGCATTTACATATGCTATTTAGCATTTATAGCATTGTAATTGAATTGCCAGGAAATAAATAACTGTATCAGGACTCTTTCCATGCCACAAGTCTAATAATAGAGTAAATTAAATACTTAATGTTATGTATATGTTAATGTTATCTAAAATATTTGGTCATATCACATATCCTAATTATAGGCCTATATTAGCTTTATGTATTTACATGTGCACAATGCATTGCATGCTCATCTCTCTTGTTTTCTCCAGGCGTGTGCAACACTGATTTGATTCTCCAAAACCTCTTTACTCTGAACCTGACACACACACACACTTGAAGAAAACCTCTGCTGTTATTGTTCAATCTCTTTACCGGTTAAACAACGCTCCACAAACAGCACTTTCTCTTGGTTTTCCTCTGACCTGATTACCCTTGTGCTGAGTAAAAGACTGCCTCACACCTTCCTCTCTCTGTGTCTCTCTCTCTTCTCCTTTTCACCCTGACAAAACGCTTTAGAGCTCCTTTAAATATCTTCTCATCCCGCCTTCTCTGGAAAGTCACGTCTCCCTTACAAATCTGTCACTCTACATTTGCAGCGTATTATGTTCTCTGTGCGGCCCACAGGTGCTGTGATGTATGACATGCTCTGCCTCTATTGATTGACCCAAGAGCGAAAGAGAGAGAGAAAGATGACCTACGAAAAAGAAAAACTCCTATTCTTCAGGCATTAAGCAAAATGATGTAAACACATTATCAAATAAATCAAATAAATGCTGTTTTTTTTCTTTTAATCAAAGAATCCTGGAAAACAAAAATATATCTCGGCTTCCACAAAAATATTAAGCAGCTTATCGGTTTTGAATATTGATAATAATCAGAAATGTTTCTTGAGCAGCAAATCAGCATATTAGAATGATTTCTGAAGATCATGTGACACTGAAGACTGGAGTAATGATGCTGAAAATTTATATATATATATATATATATATATATATATATATATTTCTTTTTTTCTTTTTTTTGTCAGAACTATTATCTACTTTTATATAAAAAATGATAAAAAATATTAATTACAAGTTCTTAAAAAAAAAGAAAAGTTTGATCATTTTAGATAATTTCTGTAATTTTAATGCAGTCCAATGAGTCTGTTTTTCAAAGAAAAACAGAAGGTTGCAACCAAACGAGTGATTATCACTGAACATTAAAAAAAAAAAATCCTTGCTACATTAACTTTTTTTTGTTTTGTTTTGTTTTATGTCCCATTTTATTCCAGTACTCAAGAATCAGTGAGAAGAGCGACAAGGGGATAGAAAGAGAAATAGAGCAGGCTGGCTAGATCATGTGACACTGAAGACTGGAGTAATGATGCTGAAAATTCAGCTGCATATCACAGGAATAAATTACAGTTTACTTTGTATTCACATGATCGCACATTTTTCACTGCCGCTGAATTCAATTGATCAATCATGTCTGTCTGATGGCACCATTTCAGCTGGTTATTACCACTGCGCTTGTCACGGTGACCTTTTCTTTCTGCACAGCGCGCTCTTCCACACACACACACACACACACACACACACACACACACACTGGACACTGCTCTTTCTGTGCGTGTGTGTGCGTGTGTGTCTACACAAGTAGATTTTTACATTTTCTGAAGCTTGCAAAACTAGGGTGTTCTGGGTGGTTGTTAACCTGTTTCTCGAGTATTTATTGGGCAGTGCACTGCTATACGATTGATTGGGTGAGCTAGGCAGTTGTTAGGGTGTTGCTAGGGTGTTCTAAATAGTTGCTAAGGCATTGTTATACCATTTCTAGGGTGTTCTAGGTGGTTGTTAAACTGTTGCTATATGATTGCTAAAGGATATTTAGTGGCCAATGCATTGCTATGACTAATTGAGTGAGTTGCTATGCTGTTGCTAGGGTGTTCTGAATAGTTACTAGGGTATTATGCCAATTCTATGGTATTCTAGGTGGTTGTTAAGTTGTTGCTATGTGATTACTAGGGTATTTAGTGGGCAATGCATTGCTATACGATTGATTGTGTGAGTTGGGGGTTGTTATGCTGTTGCTAGGGTGATCTAAATGGTTGTTAGGACATTATGTTGTTTCTATGGTGTTCTAGGTGGTTGTTAGCCTGTTTCTGTGTGATTTCTGGGATATTTAGTGGGCAATGCATTGCTATATGATTGATTGGGTGAGCTAGGCAGTTGTTAGGGTGTTGCTAGGGTGCTCTAAATAGTTGCTAGGGCATTGTTATGCCATTTCTAGGGTGTTCTAGGTGCTTGTTAAGCTCTAAGCATAGCATAGAACCTCTATGCTATGTGATTACTTGGGTAGTTAGTGGGCGATGCATTGCTATATGATTAATTAGGTGAGCTAGTTGGTTGTTAGGGTGTTGCTATGCTGTTACTAGTGTGCTCTTTGTAGTTGTCATAGTATTGCATTTTGTTTCTATGTTGCTCTCAGTGTTTTCCAAGGTACTTGATAACAGTGGCGGCTCGTGGGTTTTAAAATAGAGGAGGCAACTTGAAGCAAACATCCATCCCTTCTTAAAAGTCTGTGTTAAAAGAGAGCTGCCTGTTGTGCCATTTAATTAAGCCCCGACTGCTGTAGCCTATATCCAGCTAAGGCTGTTTTCCCTAAATTTGTATGTATACTGTTTGAATTATCAGCGCAGCGGGAGACGTTCAAACTAATATCACGTAATTTACGTCTCTTTGATGATTGGTTAATATCAGAAGGAGGCTAGCCTCCCCTGCAAGGTTTCTTTTCTCAACACTCCTCAGCGCTGAAAGTGAACACTCGATGCTGATTGGCTAATTTTTTTTACCAACGGAGGCACGAGAGCTCACCTCTCCCCCGGCCTCCCCCTCCCCTTCTCTATCAGCTAGCGGTCGTAATTACATCAGCAGATTTGGCACATTCGCGATAGAAAAGCGGCGCTTTCACGTTATGGTATTACAGCTGTGAAATTACAAACAAAAAATACTCATTCTGAGACATTAACTGAAATTAATTGTGAATTTTATTAACATTAAATCGTCTTCCTCCCATTTTCACCTCAAAATTATGGGGAAGCTGTGCCTCCCCTGCCTCCCCCGACGAACCGCCACTGCTTGATAAAAGTTTCTGCATTTTTTAGCCTGATATGCAGTTTGCATTTGCTCACTAGCCAAAACTGCATCCTCAAGTCTCTGAGCAATAGTAATAGTGATGCTTGACTTAGCCATGTGTTTTCCCCCCCTGTTAAAACTGCATGCTTCCGAGCAGGCTCTCTGTTTGGACAGCTCCCATGGGGGTCCTTGAGGTGGAGTGGGTATTTGCTGTATCGGGCGCAGGGGCAAATGAAGTCATTAATTAGGTGTCATTAGGGAGCCTGGGCCACAAAACTGATCAATACAACTGCATTTGTCATTCACACCAGTGACAACATCTTCCCACTCACTGGATGAGCAACACGCACATGTGCGCCCATTACTGCTCTGGCTTCCTCTGTTGTTCTGGCAGGAGCGATGAAAGTAACGCTTCAGCTGCTTAGAGAAAATTGACTACTGAATCCACATATGACTCCCACTGTGACCAGGAACCAACATCGTTATATTACAGC